TATAGATTTGTTGTTAGAATAATCGATTAATCGAAAAAATAATCGTTAGATTAATCGATTAGAAAATAATCGTTTGGTACAGCACTACAGTGTTATCATTTTATAATTCCACCTTTATTGATGCAGAAATATTCACCAAGCAGACCCTGGCAGTCCTGCTGACTGCTGGTCCGTCTGGTTTTGGTAGATTTTGTTTTTTTWAACATTTAAAAATGAAAWATTAAGACAGAATATTTGTTCAAAATAAAAGAAAACACGTCAGAAATGATGAGCTCGGCTCTGCTGCAGGTTGGATCCACCTGKGCTGGTCTTTGATCCTGTTGTGTTTTTGGAAAGGAGGGAGTCTGGTTTTGGACAGGATATGGTTCTGTTGGGGTCTTCAGGATTCACTGAGGTGGTTCAGATCAGTTTGAGACCACGGTTTTTATCCAGACTAAAACCAGAATCCTCTGTTAGACTGGTCTAATCTTTATGTATGAAATAACCCAGAACTCCTGTTTAGTGCAGATCCACTCTGATAAAAAGATGAATCTTAAATTTAATACAACCAGTTGTATCAGAACCAGGACCTTCTCCCACTCCAACAAACTCCCTGTACAAACTTCTGCTGTTGCTCCACCATCAATATGAAGAGACAATCAATAAAATGACAAAATAAYGCAGGAGAATGACTCTAGAGGCCTGTTCACCAGCCCCGCTACATTTAATATCCATAACATCCACAAGTTTACTAATAAATAAAACAGCCAGGATCACTTGTARTTTAAGTAACTGATTAGATTCATCAGGTTTCATGGATAAATATAACTGAGTATCATCAGCGTAATAATGGACATTTATCCCATGCTGTTTAATAACTTCACCTAATGGAAGCATTTATAAAGTAAAGAGGAGTGGTCCAAGCACTGAACCCTGAGGAACTCCATGACTAACTCTGGTGTAAGAAGAAKATTCATTATTTACATTAACAAACTGGAATCTGTCAACTAAACAAGACTCAAACCATTTCAGAGCTGTTCCTGTAATCCCAATATCAAGTTCTGACAGGACAAGAACGGACACAAGTCCAGTGTCTGAGGCCATGAGAGTATCATTAATAACTTTCACCTTTTTTTTAGTGTTGCTAATGTGGAATCAACTTATTTTGTTTTTTGTTTGGAGGAAGCAACCTGATTTTCTCAGAGATATCTGGTTGTTCTGTAGTTATTTTAGCTGCAGAAGCTGTTTAACCCTGAGTGTTTTGTCTTTCAGCGGTGGTCAGCGCCATCCCGGTGCCCGCTCTGGACTCCTCTCAGTATCCGGGGATTCTGCCTTCGCCCTCCTGTGGATTCTCTCACAACAAGTTCAGCCTGAGGCCCATGCCGTTCCCCAGCCTGACTGTGGACAGAGGATACACACCAGGTACTGTGAGGTCCAGTTCAACAACAACTTGAGCTCTAATGATTCTGTCTGATCTGAAGTGGGCTAAGTTTAGAACCTTGTGGCACGCCAATGTTAATTTGAAGAGGTTTTCTCTATTGGTGATCACAAACAGTCTCCAGTCATTTATTCTTGTTAAAAACAAATCTGTGTCAGTAGCTGAATTTTAAAGTTTCCAAGCTGCAACCAAGAAAGCAGAAGGAGTTTGTTTGTGTAAAGAGGAGTGGACCCGTCCTCCTGACATCTTCAGACTTTGAACTACAACAACCATCTGAGCCCACAAACCAGAGACGGTTCGGTTTTGTTTCAGCCTCTGCAGCTTCGCCTGTCTCTGTTTGTATTTAAGCTCCTTTCATCGCCGAGCTAAATGCTGAACGACGTGTTGGGGAGCAGTAATTCAGTAATTGAATAATTCCTGGTTGGCCCGTGTCGGTGATTTAACAACAGCAGAGAGAGGAGGAGACGCTTCAGAGTCATCGGATCGCACGGCGTCCCACGAGGGCTGATTGCTGCTGGCGAAACACACAGCCGAAACACACAGCCGAGCCAAACGAGCGGGGGGGTGCAGCTGACGACGGCGCGAGGAAGCGATAATAAGAAACGGAAACAAAACGAGTAACGAGGGGAAGCCTAAACTAAAACAACCATCAGTGATTAGAACAGGGAAGTTGGCTCGTGTGGCCCTGACAGCTGTGATTACAGAAACTAAAACGTTTTAATAACTGAGATCAGCTCTGATGCTGCTGTTTGTTCAAGTTTAACATAAATTAAACTTAATTATCAGCATTCTGGAGGAAGAAAAGACCCAGTGGCTCAGTGTGATTGAGCAGAATCTCACAGGTCAACAAGGAGAAGCTAATTCAGCTCCTCGTGTCTCCATCGCTGCGTTAATGCAGCTCTGTTGTTCTGCAGGAGGAGGAGGAGGAGGTGGAGGTGGAGGTGCTAATGGAAGGTGGAGTGGATGCAGATGAAATCAGGGCACTCATCTCTTCCATATTTATTGCACTTTCATTATGTCGACGCTCTCTGTGGAAATATTGAATAGTAAAGACGTTTTAATGTGTTTTTTCTTTTAACACATTACTGTCAGGTTTTTAACACATAAGTGGTCTGCAGAAGAAAACACAGCTTCAGTCTGAGGTTAGGAATTTTACTCAAGCTGGAAACCAACAGTAATTCTCTTATTAGCTCTGGTGTTGAAATATTTTGGCTTGTTTTTCTAAAAAAAAATGTGACACAGAAGTAAAATTTGATCATTTAGCCAGTTTAAAGTCTGTTTTATTTTTATTTTTTCATGAATGAAACGCATTGAAATGTAACGAGATCAAGAAAATATGAAGATCTGATTGAGTTCAGTGATGAGCAGTTTCTAATGGAAGTATACAAATCTGTGTGCAACATTTCCTATAGAAGCTAAAGCACATCTTTGTTTTTACCCAGGGCAGGTGGGTAATTGTGTAACTGTCTAAATATTTTACTCATTTTAATAGTGGAAGTCCTCTCCTTGGGCTGCTACCTTATCGTGGTGGARGGGTTTGAGTGTCCCAATGATCCTAGGAGCTATGCTGTCTGGGGCTTTATGCCCCTGGTAGGGTCACCCADGGCAGACAGGTCCTAGGTGAGGAACCAGACAAAGCACAGCCCGAAGACCCCTTATGATGTTTAAAAAAAATTGGATCTGGCGTTCCCTTGCCCGGACACGGGTCACCGGGGCCCCCCTCTGGAGCCAGGCCTGGAGGTGGGGCATGATGGCGAGCGCCTGGTGGCCGGCCTTTCACCCACGGAGCCTGGCCGGGCTCAGCCCGAAGAGGAGACGTGGGTCCCCCTTCCAACGGGCTCACCAACTGTAGGAGGGGCCAAAGTGGTCAGGTGCAGTGTGGAATGGGCGGCGGCCGAAGGGGGGGACCCTGGCGGTCTGATCCTTGGCTGCAGAAGCTGGCTCTTGGGACGTGGAACGTCACCTGTCTGGTGGGGAAGGAGCCGGAGCTAGCGTGCGAGGCTGAGAGGTTCTGGCTAGAAATAGTCGGCCTCACCTCGACGCATGGCTCTGGTTCTGGAAGCGGTCTCCTTGAGAGGGGCTGGACGTACTTCCACTCTGGAGTTGCCTGCGGTGAGAGGCGCCGGGCAGGAGTGGGCATACTTGTTGCCCCCCATCTTGGCGCCTGTACGTTGGGGTTTACCCCGGTGAACAAGATGGTAGCCTCCCTCCGCCTAAGCGTGGGGGGACGGGTTCTGACTGTTGTCTGTACTTACGGGCCGAACAACAGTTCAGATTACCCACCCTTCTTGGAGTCCTTTGAGGGGGTACTGGAGGGTGCCCCTCCTGGGGACTCCCTTGTTCTGCTGGGAGACTTAAACGCTCACGTGGGCAATGACAGTKAGACCTGGAGGGGCGTGGTTGGGAGGAACGGCCCCACCGATCTGAACTCGAGTGGTGTTCTGTTGTTGGACTTCTGTGCTCGTCAAGGATTGTCCATCATGAACACCTTGTTCAGACATAAGGG